CATTATCTAATTATTCCATTCTTCACTTTTGCCTATTATTAGTCAGGCAGAGTAAAAATTGTGTGTTTAAAAGTTAAGCAAATATGCACAAAGCAAAGTAATCTATGAGATATTCATATGAGCATGCTTTGAATGATATGAATATGAACATAAAACAATCTGCACACACACACACAGGCAGAACTTTATATCAGCTGGGTTCACTGTGAGTGAGTGCGGATTGTAGTTAGAACAAGCTTTCAGTTGAACTGAGCTGCTGCTGGGCTGCAGCGGGGTGGCGGGTTGGTGGGGCTGTGCAGCGGGCAGCAGTTCAATTCCATTCAATGCATGACATTCATTGTGTGAGTAAAGTACCATTTAAGGGTGATAATCGTTCTCCATTTGAGGGTGCAAAATGGAAAAATCATTGAAAGCAAACATCGAAAAGCGAGCGAGCGAACGAGAGAGAGAGATAGAGAGATATACAGAGAAAGGGAGCAGCCAAGATTAAAAGTGCATTTAATAATAGAGCTACGTTTGGGGGACGCTGCCCGAGAGAGTGGTGCAGGTGGTTGGCTGGTGCTTGGTGCTTTAGTGCTTCGGGGAATACTCGACTCACATCCATACAACATGCAGTAGCCTGTAGCGAGCTTAGAGTGGATTATAATGAACATCAAGTTAAACCGAATGTCTGAATCGAAGCAGCACGGATAGCAGGCGATTGGATAGCAAAAGAAATGGCCCATCCCTGCCATACAAAAAACCAAATGATTCGAAATTATTTGATTGCGTGGGCGGTTTGTTGGTTCGCCGGCTTTTGCAGGCTTGCCAGCTCATTCCTCATTCCTCGTTGCCCGTTGCCCGTTGATGAGCCACCCCCGGCGGCAGCTAGCGACATATGCCGGGACATCCTCTCCGGGCAGTGGACTGACTTATGCCGCGTTTACGTGTAAAATTGTTATAAGTCTTGCGGTTGCCATACGCTCAACTGTTTGAGCTGTAATAAATTACATTTTAAAGTGCAGCCCAAGTAGACTGAGGGTTGCTCAGGGCTATTGCAACTCAATTAATTTGCAGTGATTAAGCATTTGCCAGATTATTCACACAAATATTTGTAATTGTTTCAATGGTACATTGAATAAATTTAATTATACCAATGCCAAGTCCTAGACATATTCTTCTACATTTATTACTCATATTATTCATAGTGAAATATTTAATTCTCTGCACCTGCCATTATCTGTGTCTTAATCCGTGCTATGTATATGGCAAGAGGGTGCTTCAGCTACTCCCCATGCGCGGCCCGAGCTCCGCAAATCATGCTGCGAAAAGGCAGACACAAAGGCACAGGTCCACAGAACAAATGACATTTTGATTTTGCGCACTTTTTGATTGATGACAGGGAGCAGCAGTCGCAGCAGCAATTCCTTGCCTGGAGTGGAGTACGTATACCAATGATAAATAAAAGCCATCAAAAGCCAAGCAGCATTCAGAAGTGTGCGTCTTTTTGTTCGATTGGTAGGCGTGCCCGCCGCCCCAAGCTGAATCAAAAGATATTTGCGCGCCTTTTGGCGCACTTGGAACGCTCGAACAAAGCGCACAAAGAGCAGGGTAGAAAAAGGCACAGCTGGGCAGAGCTTTGACTGCCTTCAATTGTTAGCGCTTCAATAGAGCAGCCAAATGCAAATTTCACTGCGTTAAACAAAAGGCTTGTCACACACACACACACACACACACACACGTGTGTGGGTTGCGCGTTTTAGTCTAATGAAATGGCCGTCGTAAGAAAACTAAGCTCGCGCCAGCTGCGAGGCCGGACAGCAGCAAGGACATAGCCCGAGCACCACTTGTCGGCTGGCAGTGAGCCGTGTGGCTGGCGAGGCGTCGGGACTTCCACTTTTCGCTGTCATTAAGTAAATAGAAAGCCAGCGACGCCTCGCGGTGTCGCCTAGTTAGGGCCAATGTAGGCAGCGTAGCCTAAGTGATTAAAACGCTGCACAATTGCAATTTTGCCAGCATTCTGCCCCTGCGCCGACTCGATGTGCTTTTTTTCGCGCTAAAGCAACTGAAAAACCACTTTGGGCAAATTGACAACAGCCAGCCGGCAAGCAGGATGTCCGGGTAACAGCATTTCCCACATTTCGACATCAAGACATGGGGAAAGCGCGCCCGGCCCACACGCGTTTAAAACCGCGCGCAAAACGCAAGTGCGAATTCTTCACTTCAATGCGCCGTGTTCTGTTTATTGTTAGCACAAATCCATTAAAAAAATGTTGCAAAGCTGCCTAGCCAGGTAGCCGCGAGCTCTTGTTAACAATGCAGTCGCGCATAATGGCATATGCCAGCAAAAAACGGCATGCGAATCGACTTGACTGCGAGACACCCATTGTTTGGACAGCACATGCGATTTTGTGCAGCTAAACTTAATTGCTGTGAAGCTGATTGCATAGATTATATAACAGTGACTTGACTATACAATAATAACTATTGTAATAATTATTCTAGCTGAGTATTATATAATTATATTAATTATATCTATAGTCAACCTAATTTTGAAAACATTTATTTTCATCCGCAAATAGCTATGGAATGTAAAAGTATATATGATATATGAATATATGCTTTTTATTGTTTATTGCCTAAAAGTGTGCAATTACATTTCATTTGTGTATTTTAATTAAACTTCATTTTATTAAATATATGTCTCGCTATGTTTCAGCAATTGAGTATTTTTCAGGCCAAAAAGTTGCATAGATTCGCACTTAAGTAGCCTGGGTTAGAGTCTCTTTACTTCAGGCCAAAGATTATAAGATTATATAGCATTCTTTGAAATCTATCACTAATTACATATACAGTAGAACACGGTTATAACGACTCCGCTTATAGCGACTCCGCTTATTGCGTCGAAATTTTTGGTCTCCAGACATATATATATATATATTATATGGCTATAGCATCTTCCGCGCATAACGGCGTATGTGTAATTATTATTATTATGATGTATATTTAAATACATATTACTCTTTCTCCCCCATTCCATACCATACATTCCATACAAAATATATTTCATTATAGATTAAATTGCCAAAACCACCTTTAAGTATATAAACTTATATAAAAACCCCAACAATATTATCTTAACTTGACTTTTAAACTAGAACTTAAATTTATAACTTATATCTACTGTGTTTGTAAAATAATATTATTAATGTGTGAGTAAATGGAACCAAAACCTCTATTTATAAAGTTATTTATAAAGTTAATGCTAATTCTTCCTGTGCTTTAATATGAACCCGGTGGTGGAAAGATCCGTAGCCACTGTACGTTATGAATCATTTTTAATATTTTATTTTGTAAAATTTGAATTTTATTTATATGTATATTTGCAATATCAGCCCATACCGGAGCTCATAAAATATTGTGGACTGAACTATTGACCTTTAAATATTTTATTAGTAAATACGTCTGATTAAATACGCTTAGATTCATTTTCGAATTGCATGCCATGAAATGTGCACTTCGTTTACGCTAACACATTACAATCACTCAAATTACAGGGTATATTTGATAGCCTTGCTCTGCCTGGAACTCTGTTGATTGCCATTTTTCTGTCTACCCACAATTCTTTGCTTTGCTTTGCCAATGGTTTGTTGTTGTTTTTTTTTTCAATGTTCTTTGAGTCAAATGCGCATTGTTTTATTGCCTGACAGCAGCAATGTATGGCTAGTTTTGGATATTACGCATACGCCGCGTATATCAGCAGTAATTATCAAACAGCGGCGGTGGCTGTTGGTGCCGTTGGTGCCTTTTGCAGTCCTTTGACTGTCAGCACATAGCTCAATTAATCAGTGCAAGAGGATGACGAAAAAAAGTTGTTGCTGAGGCAGCAAAAAATGCTTACACGACTTTTCGCTTTGGGATATTGTAAACCAACACGCCCACCTGCTTCACCTATGTATGGGTGGCCCTTTTTTTTGTTTCCTCTCTTTTTTTTTTTTTTTGTGACACACAGCCTTTGGTGGCCCTGCTTAGCTTTAGGAGATACCAACGCCACTGCATTGCGCCATGTTTTTTGGGGCTTTTACCGGCTTACTTTCATCAATGGCATTTTGCCATTTTTCAAAATTTTCGCTGACAGTAGGACGCTGAGCGAGCAAATAAAAAAAGCGAAGCAAGAAAACGTTAGACATAATATGAAACATATGAATCGCTGCCCATGCATGCTGAGGGGTCGGCATGGATTTGATTTATGTACCTGCATGCCAACACTCCAGCACTGGTATATTCAAGTTTATATATAGATATACATATATATGTAAGTGTGTGCATAGCATATGTACACAACAACAACACAAAGCCAGTTACGAGGCCTAACCGGTGAATGCTCTTGATAGACGTCAAATTGAAACATGTAACAAGATGATAAAGCAGCATCTAGCATGCCAAGGGAGCGCGCGGTGCGGCAGCTGCGCTCCACTGCGACAGGGTCCACAAATTATTTAGTAAATTTCAGTGGTTTTTGCTGCTGCTGCTGCTGCTGCTGGGTGCCCCACAGCATTCCTTATTCATTTGGCTCCTGGCTGATGGCAGCTGGTACGTTGTCATGCACGAATATCCTATTTGGGCTAGTTATTTTCATTTTTCCATTTGGCGAGCTCAGTGTTTTGGAATATTTCTTTTTTAACCTCTATTTTTTGGAGCCAGACAGACTCGGTTCGGTTGATGAACCAATAATAATTCATATTCATGCCCATTTCTATGCAAAGCCAGAAGCCATCACTGCACCACCGGAGCACACACACAGCTCATCTCACGCCTGACATTTGAATCTAATGACACTTTTGTAAGAGCAGTTTTTGGCTATTTTTTGTACGAACTCCGCATATGTTGATCAATTTTAATTAGACGCCGTGTGCAGTAGTCACCCGAGCAACTTGTTAGTGCGAGCGCAGAGATGAATTCTAATTGCACGCTATGAATCAAAATGTAAGTATTTAGTTTCCCATGTACAAATAAAAATATTTTTAAAGGTATACTTTTTACATTTTAATTTGATATGAAAAATTGTGTAAAGTGTAGATGGACTTTGCTAATGATTTTGATAGATAAACCTGTTTTATAATATTTTTACAAAGTTCTTTTATATTGACTAAATAGTGGCCTCCCGTCGTCATATTTTTGTGGTTTATAATTTATAATTTTTAACTCTTGGGATGGTAGAATTCAGCATCATGAATTTTAATTGTTGAGCCAAATAAGATTTATATCCAAGAGACGATATGTTACTGAGAGCTCAAACTTCATTGTAAACTCTATTTGTTGATATATGCATGTTATTGTTCTCTCTGCTCTTCAAGGTGTTTGTAATGCTCAGAGCCCCACTTCGTAGCTCGAGTATGCAAATTTTTAAACTTCTACTCATTCAGCTCTTTAGACGTTTCACATTGGAATGCCGTATGTGGACTTGAGGAATTTCCATATTTTATACTTAAATTAGTTGCAATCGCTGGTTACTTAAATGGGGATTTGGATTTTTTCCTTCTGAGCTTATTTTGATTCATTACCACGTATGGAAACTAATTGCAGAAAATGAAGCTCTTGGTCTCTGGAAAGGAGTTAAGGCTCGTAAAGCTTTCATTACTACACTAATACATGTATTTATGATACCAACGTCTGGAAGCTATGTGTCGAAAATTGAGAATTCAATATTCTAGGCATTTCAAACTGATAAAATAATATGAATTTTAAGTTTGATACAACCAAACAATGAAATCTTTCGTGTTGACATAATAATATAACAATATAATAATATACTGTGCGAGTTTTATTTGAATAAAAATCAAAGATTTATCATAAAATTCTGCTGCCATTAAGAAGCTTATTGATTGCATTATGCTTACCTGTAGTTTCCTTGCTCGTCACGCAGCAACTATCATCAGCAGGAGCAGAGCCTCTCTTTGTTCATTTAAAGTTTGTGTGCTAATCCTGCACTTATCGACTTCCCCTTGGTAAAAGACGCTGCTTTCGCACAGGCAACACGGCTACTCGGCTGTCTCAGGGCGCATGGTTACATCAGCATCAAGTGCCCATTAAGAGCTTAAAACCAAACAACTGACCCATTAGAGTCGACCTCCATAATCAACGGCTTTTTGACGCGTCTGCCGCGTGCCAATCGAACATTGAATCCATTTGTTTTGTCATCTTGTTGCTTGTTTGTTGCTGTTGCTGTTGTTGGGCTGACAGCGTGCACAACACTGAGCCACGCCCAACTGCAACAATTTGTAGTAGGCGCTGTGTAAAGTTGAAGTGGATTGAACGGTTGACAGGGTTGCCAATGCGGCGCAACGTTCGCATGTGCACGCGCCCACAAGCGTGTGATAATTACTCGCATGTTGCAGCTTCACATGCGCGGCACGTGGCCGCAAACAAACAGCGAGCAGGACTCGGGGCAGGCGCTACAAGTATCCATATCCGTTTCGGGTTTCGTTCGCATAATTGCGGCAAGCATTTAGCCAGATATCAGTACTAATATTTTGCTCAAATACAAGCGCACAGCCCTCAGGACCTGCAGTTCCTCCCGCTCCGAGTTCCCCGTAGCCTGAGCCGTGTTTTGTGCCAGGGTAAATATGTTTTTCCCATCTGAAGTGGCACTCGAGCTAAGGACTCTCTTGAAGGTCTCTCGGCTCTCAGTCGCTTTCAGGTGAGTGCGCGGGCCTTTTTGTTGTTAATTGCATTAATGTGCGTTATTTATAATCAAGTACGGGAGCCTGAAGAACTGTGCGAACTTTTTGCCCTACTTTGCACTGTTTATGCGGCAGCCAAGCAGCCAAGCAGCCACGCAGCCAAACATTTGGATGGGCAATAATGGTAAAAGTGCCAAACAGAGACTCGTAAATTGCGGCCCCACACTCCGACCATTTGCCGGCATTCGCCATTTTGGGCAGCCAGACGAAGGCGTCGGAGCCAAATACAAATATCCAATCCAATTCCCTGCTGCTAGCAGTTGGCTAAAGACCCCGCCTAATAGCAGTTACTGACGACGCCGCATTGGCCCCCGGGGACCAGACAATTTCAATAAATATTTCACTGCATTAGCTCTCGACGCTGGCGTGTCAATGGTCAAGGGATGGGCGGGGCGGGGCAGAGCTGGGCGGGTGGCAACATGAAAGCTAGCATGATGCGGCCTAAGCAAATCCAAACTCAAATTGCCTTTTTGCTCCTGGCCAGCAATAACGTGCATTAAATGTTTGGCCATTATCATTTTAGGCATTTGCGAGCATATTTTCCATTAGCCGCTGACTTTGCTTGGCATTCGGGGTCTCCTCTCGCCGACCCAATTTCATCTATGTGTGTGTGTGTGTGTGTGTGTTTCTATTGAGCTACAAATCGACAGCAATTTCAGTGACAATGCATCCACAGCTGAACAATTGCCATACTCTTGCTAACTCTTTGCTTCGAGACATAAGAAAGCCAGAATAGTTGCTCCCTTAGACGTAACAGGGCAAAGCAACAACAAAGCATCACCTTGATTGCCTTGTTAGTTACTGCGACTCCTGCTGATGCTGCTGCTGCTGCTGCTGCGACTGCTCCTGCTGCTGCTGCTGCTGGCGCTCTATGTGGTTGCCTTTTCTAACTAACACTAACCGCAGACCAGACTGGGCTGAAGCTTCCAAGCGCTTTTCTTCATTTTCTGACAATAAATTTTCATTTTCTTGGTAAATGGTCCGTTGTTGTTGCCGTCGTCGTGCTGCTGTTGTTGCTCGTGCTGCACTTACTCCTTGATGGCTGCGTTGTTCTGGTGTTGTCGATTGCCTCTTTGCACATATGCCCGCATTTTTGCACCACAACAATTTGGCAGGCACCGCTCATTGTCTTTGCCACAGACAGAGTCAGAGTCAGAGTCAGAGTGAGAGTGAGAGCCACAGCCGCAGCCGCAGCCGCATTGCAATTGCAATTGCTCACAAGTTATCCCAAGTGGAAATTTTTGCTGTTGTTCTTCGGTGTGCGGTTGTTCTTGTTGTTAACTCAGGGCTGGCAAATCGCAATAAAACAAAAGTGACTGTCAAGTGAATACGCTTATTCCCGCAACCATCTACATAGCCAGCTCACGGCATAACAAGGATATCCTGTCATAATACGCAATTCTTCATGTTCGCTCTTCTGCGTAACTCGAAACTCGAAACTCGCAACTCGGAGTGATTAAAATGGTTATTCATATGCACATGATTGATGCATTGAATGAATGTAATCGTTGATATTCTGACTGATTTGCTTAGCCTGGGGGAAACGAGTTGGTTTTATGCAAGCATTTAAATCATATTCAAATAACGCTTGTGTAAATCCTCATGCTATTGTAATGAGAGTGAAAACTTATTGAAACGGTTTGTGTTCATATAGGTAGAGGGGCATATGAACAGAGGGAGTATAGAAATGTAATTCTAGTTATATCCAGCTCTATAGAAACCCATACATATATACATGATTCAAGACCGGAACAACCTTTGTCACGCTTATTTAACATAATTTTAGTTAGACAATTTCATTCAATACGCTCATAAGTCAAAGTTATAAAAAAAAAAAAAAAAAAAGATGGAAATAAAAACACGCAAATTTGGGCACTTTGAAAAGACAAACAAGTTGGCCAACTGGGCTGGCTAATGCCGGGGCATGTTGTTAACTGTGGTAACACGCACGCACGCTCGCACGCAGGCAGTTAATTAAGGGTGTGAACTGGTTGAGTTATGCGTGGAGGAGTCGGAGCCCAGGCAGCAACCCCACACGGCAACGTATCATGAAGGACGCAAAGGACATGCCGGACAGCAAAATGGGCAGTAAATAATTCATTAGCGGCTTTTAACAATAAATTTTTGTGGGACAGCCATTGGCTGACTGACCAGCAGAGTGAGCCACTGAGAGAATGAAAGTTGTTTTAACTTTTTTTTTTTTTAGGGCACTCATTTTAATGAAGTGGCTCGTTTGCTGGAGGCAGCAGCAACAGCTAATTAGTTGGCGGTTTGAACTTTGAACTGCACTTCATTAGAGCTGGAATTCGACGAGTCGCCTCGATAAGGCTCCGACCCAGCGGATCCAGTAAGCTAACGAGCCAGCGAGCCACTTAGCCATCGAACCAATGCACCACCTGCACATGTTTTGGCACATTTATGCAGCGGCTGCCAAATTAAAATGCAATAATTCTTCATTTGCGTACGAGGGAATGCGCAAAAAAAAAAAAAAACAAGAGAAAGAGAGCACGAAGAGGAATTAGGTGCAAACGTGAACGTGAGAGAGAAAAGGCAAGAGCAGGAAACGTGCTATAATTGAAAAATGTGGTAACAAGACTCTACGTGGCGGGCCTAATGAATTCCCCGCTTTTTGCTTGACTCCGTCACGACACGCGAGCCTGAAGAAGTTGTTGATGTTTTTGCCACTGGGAGAGGGTGATAAATGCTCATCAGGCTTTAAGGCAGCGTTGGCAATTAACTTTTACAATGTTGCTGAAACGTAATCAAGTTGTCAGCGGCGTGAGTCGTCTCAAAGATACTCCTAATTACGCAAAGTTTCTGGCGATATTCCCAGGCCAGCGCCTAAATGTCAACAAATGGCTGCTTGAGAATCTGCACCCCACGCCCTTGCCCTCACCCATGCCCTCGCCCTCGCCCACGTCTTTGAAGCTTTTGGGTTCTGGGGCGCTTGGGCTGCTAATCCGGCGGGATCCATTTGCCTAATGCCCTGCAACAATTTCGCAGTCTTCCACTCGCTCTCTGTCACACTTTGGAGTACATTTCAAATATCTTACGGTTGTCATAACAAAAACTTCGGAGAGCGGAGGGGCATTTGATTTGTTCAGTTCTTTTCCTTCTTATTCTTCTGCAGCTGCTTGGGGCGCATTAGCTGCCTTAAGTCTTGGGTTTCGGGCGCCACGAATCGACAATAAGCGGCATAAATTTTAAAATTTCATTTTTATCGCATTACAATTTTCTCTACAGTTTTTTATGCCTCCTCATATTTTCGTATATATATATGTATATATTTTTAAGCCACGTTTAAGTAAGATGCTTGAGTGGCATTATTGACTTTGGAGTTGATAAAGTGCCATAAATGTCACCCCATTAAAAGAGACAACAACAACAACAACAACAACAACCACAACAGCAGCAACATCATCATCATCAGCAGGAGCCGGAGGAGTTGAAACAACAACGCCAACGACAACGGCAAAAGGCAACAACATCGCAAAGGTAAAGGTAAAAAGCGCGTTGAGTTACCGGCTCCTGGGGGTTGCTTGCCAGGATAATGCGCCTCAACTCAATTGGGAATTTTAAAAGTAAAGTTGAATTTCATGTTTGGTTGCGGCAATTGTCACAGATGGTTTAATTGAAGTAATTACATACGAAATCCGTCAGGATTTGCCCGCGCCAGCGCCCTTCAAATGATGACACTTTTTGCTTATTATTTTATTATTACTTACTAAGCCAACATTAGCAAGCGTTGGCGAGGGGGCAGCCGGAATGGCTACCCCTTCCTCGGCAAAGGGTTAATGGCGTTGTTTGACTTTTGTTTTTGCGCCATTGCAGTCCGCAACGAGCAGCGCTTTCCGCTCTTCTAATGCTAATGAGCTAATGACTGCTGCGTGTAATTACCGACCGCTGAAAAGGTGTCATCATTATTTATGGCCGTATCTTACATTTTATTATTATTATTTCAAATATATTTTTGTATATTTTTGTCCCATATTTCATGTTGCTAACCTCGCTCAACCGGTTACAGTTGCATTGTCCAAGTGGAAGCTGCTTAGGCAGGCTCATCTCAGCTTCTCAGTCTTCTATATACATATGATATATTATAGCTCTGTCTCTTTGGTGAGTCATGTATAGAGTTGAAATGACAATCTATTAATATATAAAATATGGGCTTTATTTGCTTAGCGTGCTCAGCTGCTCAAATATGATTATTCATATTTATATATATATATAAATATATTTAAACGAAAATTGCTATAAAAAGCCTTCCGCCGGAGGTAGCAATCAGAATAGTCCTAACTAGCCTATTGTTAACAAGAAATTCGAAATGCTTCGAGTCCTATTCGTATTGACTGTCGTATTTTTTGCAGCGGAGAGCACTATCTTACTCAAGCCGGCTCCTCCCATCTTCGTGCCTCCTAGCAGGTGTGATATCTATCAAAAAAACTTGTGCTGGGTGCTCGACGAATGCGTTTGTCGTCCGATCCAAAATCCTTGCCTGAGGGATGCTGAGAATGAATTTAGACTCAAGACTTGTAGAAGACGTAAGTGCGCTGTAATCACATAACTCATCCTGAATTAATCGAATCTTAAATGGGCCCCTAGCACTTGTGCCCGTATCGGAGGAGCTTTGCAAGTACTTCATTCCGAAGGTCTGTCTCCTTAGAAAGCCAGTGATAGCGTCGATACTTGTGCGTCCAGCATGCGGCTGCAAGACCAAACCCGACGAGTTGCAGCAGCGTAAGTTCAGGAGTTTGTGCGAACTGCAGAAATTCTCAGCTGAAAACCGAACAGGTAAGTGAAATCGCAAAATAATGTCTACAGATCAAATTTAAATATTTTTGTCTCTTTTCTTTAAGCTTATCTGAACTACAAACGATGTCTCTTCTAATCCAATGTTATTTGTTGACCAATTATAATTTGTTTTTAATAAAGTTTAACTGCATGCATTAAATTGACCGATAATTGAATATTTCTGGGTTATCATCATCAAAAATAAGTTTTGGAAAAAAATTCAAATTGTATGACATATACAAAATATATATGTAGTAATTTAGCGAGAATTAATTTACATCATTTAATTGGGCGGGGGCTGCATTGATTTGCAGAATGTTTTTGGAATGGCTTCAAATATTAGTACTGAAACTAAAAAATTTAAAGTTTGATAATCTAGTATTATCAGTAAAGTCATAAGCATCCGAGTGCCTTAGGCAATAATAATAATATAAAACACTGAATGTGAACAATATTTATATAAACAAATGAAATTTAAAATCATACACGGCCTAATGTTGTGTATCAATGAGGTAGAAGAAACGAATTATTAATTTAATTACCTATAGTCGAGACTGCTCGACTAGGAGATCCTCTGAACTCTACAATAAGCTGATACTCCATTCTTCGGCACTTCTTTTATACAGTGTATAATATTCACACATACAAAAAGACAGGCACACATACATTCGCATGTATCGCTCTGCTAACTGCGCAGTTAGCAGCGACTGCGCTTAGACTGCAGTGTGGGTAATAATATGATATCCAACTTGTTAAATAAATAATCTTGTAGTGGGACTATATTCATCAAATTTTCATAAAGTGATAATAACGTTTTGAAGTGGTATTTAGTATAGCATATATAGTAAATAGTAATGACGTAATTTGTCAAATTAGGGGCGAAAGCGGCGTGATATCCAGAATCTGTAAATTACTGTATTTACATTTATATACATACTAAATCTGATGTCTCTATGTCTAAAAGATATTCAAAATACTCTTAAAGCAAACTCAATTTATCGATTACAGTCGATACAAAATAAATGGAATGAGTTATCAAGAAGAGATGACAAATTTATAGACGGATAGACGCATGGATGGACAGATGGGCGTGGCTAATTCTCCTCAGTTTGTCGCCCTGATATGATATTATGTATATACACCTCAAAAAAAAAAAAAAAATAATAATAATAATAAATAAATAAATAAATAAAAGAATAATAATAATAAATAAATAAAATCAAATAAAATTATGGCTTGATTTCCCAACTTCAATGAGTATAATAACAGCTCTGAAAAAAGACATAACCATTATCATAATTCTCATCTATGATCCAGGTTATAGGATTAGCAAGTATTGCAATTTTTATTTTCATTCAGCAATTGTTTACTTTTAAATTCGATGTTGACTTTTAGGCTGAAAAGCTCTACAAGGTATGCCATTTCATTCCTATTTTTATATGTATTGACTTTTCTCAATAAATATATCTGAAGAACAGGTGGTAGATATTATATTTAATATCTCAAAATACATCTGCTTAAACAATTACTTGGCTCAGTCTTCAGCTATAAAAAGGCATTCAACTGTTGCAGACTCAAACAGTGTCAATACATTCATTCGTATCAACAGCATCTGTTCTCCCGATCCAATGTTCAACGTAAAACTCTTGATTTTCTTCGCCGTAGTCCTCTGCGCGGCCCAGGATTGCGTGCTCGGCGAGTCTGATGTGGACCCGGACATCGATATTGACGAACCGGACAGTGCTGAACCAGACAGTCTCTGTGCCAGTTGCGGTTGTGGTAAATGTCGCTGCGCTTGCGGCGACATAGTTTAACGGTAAACACTTCAGAAATTAAAGTGAAAATAACCTTAAAGTCCTTGAATAATTGCAGGGCAGAGAAAATGCTGGAGCAGAAAATAATAATTGTTGGCAAATTGTTTAATTGTTTTCAATAAAATTGTTGTACTCTTTGAATCTGAGTGTTTTGTCTCCTCTTATATACACTTAATACACAAGTTTCATCAGGATTAATTATGGTAAGACAGAAAGGTTATGCCCAACGAAGTAAGGTAAGACGTATATGGGAAGCAATCTTCATTCTTTGCAAATTGGAAATATATGGTGTTTAGAAGTTTTATGTTTTTGTTTCGATATCTCGTTGGGTTTTCCAAAACTTTTGATGCCTACTGGGCTGCAAACCATCGACATGAGCTAGAAAATTTCGACACATTTTAGCATTTTTTCACAAAAACAAGTCAGACATCAAATCAATGACAAGTTCAAAATTTTCCGTTAAAAATAATTGTTGTATCAACGAATACGACGACGTTTCGATTTACCTTTGAAGAAAATGATGCCCTTCAATCGAACATTGAGTTCCGAGCAGCTGCAAGAGTTGAATAAATGGATGTCCAATTTGCAGATAAAGCTCGACAATCGCACACGTCGCGAGCTCTCGGATGTCGTGAACGTTGCTCAAATAATTAACAATTTAAATTCGAAGCTGGTCGACATGTGCTGTTACAAGTCGCAGAGCAGCCTAGCCTTAAAGCTAGAAAACTGGGAGATCTTTAACCACAAAGTGCTTCGTAAATTGGGTCTTAAATTGTCCCATAACGACTTGACGCAGCTTGCCTCGGGCAGTCTGGCTGCATTGAAGTGCCTGCTCTATTATTTAATGACCTGGAATCGAGATGGGCTATCGCCAGTGAGTCCATCCAAGAGGATCTCATCGATAGGGGGCAAGAAGAAAACCACCGGGAGTTTATCTGGTAGCACGGAGCTCGCTGCCGAGCAGAAATCAAATGAAAACGTTCAGCTGGATATGCCAGAAGTTGGAATGAGCGTGCCGTATGCTAAATATAAGCAAGTGATCCAGGAGAGTTACAAGAAGAAAAGATACCTGAGCTCAATAAGCCACAAGGCCAAGTATCTGGAAAGCCTTATGATGGTAAAGGAGGACCGTATCAATTTTCTTTTGGAACGCATCGCCGCTCTTGCCGCACTAGCAAATCATAATGCTAAAAATTGTAGTCAGGCCGATTAGCAGCTCTGAATTCGGTATTGATTGTTAGCCCAATCCGTGATCAATGAGTGATCCTTTAGTCATCTTCAATGCATACTGCACCGGTTAGTTTCAGTCACATATTTGCGTCAGACTTGATTTTTCGATGTTAATGTGCGAATATCCATTTGACACACGAAAGGTGCGCAGGGAGCATCCAAATAAGGTGGCGGTTTTTCGATTGGCTCTTGCGAGGATCGTAATTATAAAATATGTCGTATTTTATTATTTATAATGATACATTTTCGTTTCAGGATCGATTAAAAATACTAATATAGTATTATAATGCAGGTGTATTTATTTTACTTATGATTTTACTAATCAGCGATGACAAACCTTTCCCAACAGACTTCGGTATCAATTACTGATGTCCCTTCTATGCCTGTAGCTTTATAATAATACATTTATAACCAATTTTAATCATTTTTTATAACTTTTCTGTTTTTCTTAGTACATACAAATATCATCAAAAATAATAATAATAATATTGTATAATAGGCAATATAAACAGCCGAGGCAATTTATCCCATTTATTTTAAAAATAGTTTTATTTTCATATGTTAAATTATAAAAGTGAATGAGTCACAATCATATGAGTTCCATAGGTAATATGTATAAATAATAAGCGACGCACCTGAATAATATTTAGGTGCAAAACCCCATTATTAAGGTCAAAATATGTTATTGATCAGTAATGTAAATAATCATAAATAAATAAAAATAATTTTTTGTTTTAATGGAAATATGACAATTAATGCTCGAATGCTCGACTTTAATATACCCTGTACTTGAAGTAATATATATAATTTTTTTAATATGAGTATAAATCACTGTTACAGAGAGTATGTCTAAGACAATCGGTAGATAGCAATCAGTTTTCGTGCAATAATGTCAACGATATATGCATGAAGATTATTGTATCATACGTACATACAGTTATAAGCTAAAGCTCTCAAATCAGGTATAACTAACTGCATCATTTATAATCAAATCATCAAGTACAATTTATTCAATTTGTACATTAATTTAATTTGATAATACTTTCACATATATTTTCGATATATAACTTTTCCGCCATCGGACCAATCATTCCCTAAACAATTGACGGAGTTCCTTCAAGGTTAATTATTTTATTTCAGTGTACTCTGCATCTTTTTAAGATCAATGTAAATAAATAACAAAACAGTTTCATTTTCTGAACTGTGCATCTCATATTTATTTTTCGTAAGAAAAACAATAATTGCAAAAATATCTCAAAACACATCTGCTTAAACAATTACTTAACTGAGTTTTCAGCTATAAAAAGGCGTTCAACTGTTGCAGACTCAAACAGTGTCAATACATTCATTCGTATCAACAGCATCTGGTCTCCCGATCCAATGTTCAACGTAAAACTCTTGATTTTCTTCGCCGTGGTCCTCTGCGCGGCCCAGGATTGCGTGCTCGGCGAGTCTGATGTGGACCCGGACATCGATATTGACGAACCGGACAGTCCTGAAATAGAGAGTCTCTGTGCCAGTTGCGGTTGTGGTAAATGTCGCTGCGCTTGCGGCGACATAGTTTAATGGTAAACACTTCAGAAATTAAAGTGAACATAACCTTAAAGTCCTTAAATATTTACAGGGCAGAGAAACTACCAAGTCAAAAAATATTAATTATTTGCAAATTGTTTTCCTTTTGTCATTAAAACTGTTGTTGCCTTAGAATCTAAGTGTTTTCTTTCACCAATCCCCCCAATATGTCGGGCTGCTCACCGCACCGTTCTTAATGCAGTACTTTGTGCGCTCAATTGTGAAGCTTTTGATGCTACAATTCACAGAAAATCATTTTCATTGCATTGATCACTTGTTTATTCATAGCCATTCATTCGTTGGCAAAGTAATTTCTTTGCTCTTTATGCTCTATGATTTCTTGACTTCACAGCGACAATCAGAAACAAAGCAAAAGTAATCATGTCCTACACCTTCTTCTTTGTTGCTGCTCCGTCGCTGCGCGTTTCTTTGTATACCCTATGAAGGTAAATGTGTGAGGGTATATTGTGCTTTTAAGTTGAAATATATAAAGAATATACAAGAATATTTGTAGAGTTTGAATGAGATGATTACAGTTTTATGGAACAGTTCGATATATGAGAGGACATTAGAGAGGAGACTAAATTAAAACGTTTAAAATTATGAACATACCAATTATGAACCAACAACAATAAAAGAAAATCATTTCTTTGTTTTCAAATTGTTTTTGTTTTTGGGTTTCTTAACCCAATTGAATTATATTCACTTCTAGCGAACCCTTTCACAATTGGAGACAAATTTGAGCGACTGCAGAGGCTATTGTGAGTGTCGCCACAGGACATGTGGCATCTCCACCTAATAACCTTAAAAGCCTTATCGAGTCATTTAATATAAAAACAAGCAATTAAAATGATGAATATGCAATAAATGTGTATACACACATTAAAAAGGACAATTCTGTGCCCCAGCTATCCATCCATACATTTTATATGCTAATGAGTAGAATGTTTTTTATCTAAAAAGCAAAAAAATGCGGACACACATTTGCCTAATGAAAATAGCGCCATTAAAATGAGAAAAACAACTTTAGATACCGAAATTCGAAACACGCCGAGTTTTGGCAATTAAAATGCTCCGAGCAGAAGGTCCTGTCAACCTTCCACCCGTGCCGTTGCGTCCCGCTGACTTTGAAAGTATACAAAGCGGGTGTACATGTGTGTGTGTATCGGACAACGATCGCCTAGCAAATTAGAGATTAACACGCATGTGTCATCCTTCTTGGGGTATTTTAGTTCATTGACCGCTATGCGGCAATAAAACTACTTAAGTTTCCAAAATTTTAACTGAGTGCCAAAGTCGCGGCCAGTTTTATAACTCCACGAATTAGAGCAATTTGATGAAACTATAAAACTGTCAAATCGCACAAATGCGCCGACTATGCTTAGAGAACTTGCTCTGGCGTGTGCTCAAAAAAAGAAAGAGGAAAAAGGTAACATTGATAGATAAACTGAGAGGGGGCGACCCCTGGCTAACCACGCGTCCTGTGTGCTCAATAAGCTATGACGAGTGCAAGCCACGCACGTTAGAAGTGCAGCTAGTCAAAGGCGCAGTGAGAGGGAAAGGAAGATTGAGAGGGAGAGAGTGGGAAACACAAGGTAGAGCAAAGGTGCAAGAGAAATACATGTATATGCTTACTCTCAGCAGCATAGTGAGGGAGGGCAGCGCAGAGCAGAGCGAGGGACGCCCTCGGCTGGGTGTGTTGCATCTCTCAATGCCAACATAACATATTAATTAAACTGCCCACGAGCCTATGCGCCTGTCAGACTGCCAGACTGTCAGGCTGTCAGTCAGGCGGTCGGCCAACCCGCTGTCAGCTGGAGGTCAACTTCGGTCAGTTGCTTAATTATATTACAAGCTCCGCACTTCCATTGTGATCTATAATTAAGTTTAATTATATTTTGCATTTTTAACTTATTTATTTGTTTTTCGTATTGCAGCCATTTAATTTGATAATTGCAATTACGTGCGCACTCAACGCATGCCCCTCGTTAGCCTAGCTGATGGGTTAATTGGCCTTTAATGTCTGGCAAATTGTCTGGCATCCCATTTAACGGGGCCATATTATGGGCCTATGACGTATATAAATACGTAATCGGTATGTTAATTTGCCCTGCAACAATTGTGTTTCATTTGCCCATTGCAATTGTATATATGGCTATGGCTCACAAATGAAATTCTTGTCTATGCCGTTGGATCTGAAAGTTTAGCTCCGGAACTATTATTTGAATGCTCTTATCGATAATGTAAGTTGTATAGAGTACTATTTATTCTTTCAGATCTTATTATTATTTATTCCGCTTGTTGATTATATAGTTTGTAAGATCAGAGTCACACCAGAAGTGATAAGGGAACTAATCTTAAAATGAAGCCAATAGCCTCTCTGGGCGTATCAATGCTCGCTCTCTCCCTAGTCTGTTCTGAAACCGAAGTGTTCCTACTATAGCGCCTAGCTATGGGGAATGCTGAAATAGCAACATTGACATTATCCGGAGTGCACAGTTGAAGATCTTGAGAGCCATTGCCGCAACACCACAGTGTTCATAGGGAGAATTAAACACTCTACCAGTCAGTGAGGCAATACTGGAACAAAATGAAAAACATTTTGGCAAACTCTTATCGTACCCTAATCAATTTATGCGAGATCTAAAAACTGATCAAGTCTTTGTCTTCACGACTTACCGATCCAGCCAAATAATATTTTTTAATTTTATGCATCATTGTAAATTTTCTTTCTATTCAATGAAAACTATCAAAATATAATTCTTTAATTTCAGTTAATTAATCCACCAATGCATCATTGTAGAATTTTCTTACTATTCAATGAAAAATATCAAAATAATATTCTTTGATTTCAGCTAATCAGAGTTCAACCTCATTAAGTTTGCCCTGCATATAAAATCTCTAAGTGTGTGTATAAATATTTAAATTATAGATGACAAAGAATGTAATATAAATGCAAAATAAACTCTAGTCAAACTACTTTTAATAAAGGCTATTATATTTATTTATTTAATGTATATACTAATTTCAAATTGATAGCTTAAGCAGTCGATGCGGCCTTGCTGACTGAGAACAATTAATAAATGTTTATATGTCCATTAGTTAGCTAACTATCTAAATATTTGACAGCGTGTCAATTGTTCAAATCAGAGCACCGAATTAGCATCATCAATTCGGGCGAATGTCTCTTGGCCACTGGCTAAAGTCAAATAAAATCGTTGAGTGGCATTGAGTAAAATAAAATTGATTGATGACTCAGCATGTATGTATGTATGTATATATCCAACACTTTGATAGATTGCTGGCTCTGGCGGACGGTTGGGTTGACGGTCGCCTGCAATATCCAAACAGCAGGCAAAGTGTCAAAGTGTAATCAGGGCCGCGTTAACGCCAATACAATGCCAGCAACATTATCATTCTCAATCTCATGGTTATCCTCGGCATCAGCATGGCAATGTTGTTGCAGCCACGAGTCAAATGTTGCCGTGAAGGGGTGCGGCAACTCCGGTCTTGCGGCCTATGCCCAAAATGAGATACAAATGTAGCGCGCCATGTAAATGCTCGAAATTTGCTGTGACTGCGGCTTATTGACATTAACCAAGCAATTGTCACTGGATTTATTAAGGGCCTATTCGGCGGGAAGGGCTGCCGCACCACTGGCTCGAATTGCCATGCGATGTTAGTGGTTAATAAATGCCAAGGCAACATCAGCCTT